TTAGTTAAATTATTTGTAGTTTTTAAGTATTCTTCAGTTTTTCAATTAACTTTAATAATTTCTTCATTTAATAAAGTATTAGCAAGATATTTACAAGTAGATAGCATATATGAAGATTGCAGAGATTTAAGTATATCAATAAACCATAAATTCTCAATTATGAAAAATAGAAGCCTGTACATAGCAAAAGCTTTAATAATTGTATCTTTTTTAGAACCAGCCAAAATTTGATTTTTATTTTCTCAATAATCATTAATATTTATTTTCTGTTTTTTAGATTGATTTTTTGAACTAGATGCTTGGGTTTTTTTTTTTAATTTTTGTCTTTGAATTACAATTTTTTGATATTTTTCTCTTATTTTATTATCAAGATTTTCATCTTTATATTCTTTTGTAAGATGTATCTCAAGCTAATTAGGATATCTATGATTAAATTGTGTAGAACAATATTTATATTTGGTAGCAAAATGACCAAGTGATTTCAATGGAGTTGTAAAAAAATAATCACAAACAGGGTCTAATAGTCTTCCTCTAGGATGTTTTGAATATGTCTCTTTCTTAGCTTTTTAGATGAATATTGAAAAGCTATTGAAGATAAGTCATAAGTTACTGAAGTTGAATTATATGAAGATATTAAAGAAGTTATACAAATCATAAAAGATGGCTTATACCTAAATAAATAGATTTTTAAAAATAAAAAAAAAATAAATCACCAATGAATAAATAACCATTTTAGTATAAATGAAAACTAAGCTGATATAAGAAAAATTATGTGAAGCTATTAATACAAAGAAAAAATTATATTTGGCAAAAATGCTAATAAATAAATATTTTATAAATATCATAATATATTTTAATGAATAATTTAAAGATGTTAATTTGATTATAATGTATCTATTCTTATGTTTAATTCAAATTAAAAAACTAATTATTATTTTTGCTTCAAAAATCTTGAAACATTATAATAATTCTTATTATTATAATAAAATTATTCTAATCATTTGCTAAACTTGTTTTTTTTTTTTTTTACTTTATACAAATGCTATCGACTGAAACTTTTATTAGTATTGATAGTAAGTAAATATTACATATTGTGAGAGT